ACATGTGTCAGCAGCTGCATCCCCTCCCCAGCAGCCCCGGGCGGAGCGATGCTGCGGAAGGGTTTTGCAAGACGCTGGGAGCCGCGTTCCCCGTCTGGCAGCTGCCAGGTCTGGGCGGTGGGAGCCGGTGGCAGGTCCCAGCCCAGCCAGAGCCACCCCAGAGAGGAAGAAAGTGTCATGAATAACACGCCCGACCTCGCTGCCGAGGCTAGAAGTAGCTGCCCGGGGAGTTTTGTTGAATCACGCAGAAGAGGCTGTGGCAGCGAGCGATAATGGAAAGCAGCGACGGCACGGCTCTACGGACGGGAGGGACATGCGGGCTCACGTCCCCGAGGTGACACATGGGGACCAGCCACTGCCAGCAGCCTCCTGGCCCACCCCAAAACCACAGAGAGCAAACGCCACATTTGCTAGGAGCACGTAAAAGCCACCCAGCCAGGGCTCTGGCAAGAGGAGGGTAGTTTAGGAGGTGAACCACATGTAGAAATGGCATATTGCAGCAATATTAGTCAAAAAAAGAAAAGAAACACCACCTTCAGCAGCTGTCCTGGTGCTGTCTGTGCATGGAAATGTGACTTAACCAAGTGATACCTGCCAGCCAGTGACCAGGACATTCTTCAGCTCTTGAGGCAGATGAAGCTCTGGCTCTCATCTCCATGGAGAGGGAAAAAAAAAAAATAGAAAAGAAGTCCTCTAATTCAAGTTAGCTGCAGACAAGGTAGTTTCCACATGAGTTAGCAAAACAGCCAGTTGGAAATTTCTGATAAAATCTATTTTTTTTTCCTTTCAAAATGCAGATTCAGAGAAATGTGAAAGCTTTCCACTGGAAAGAATGAGTTTTGCTGGATTTCTCAACTGGTTCTCTAGAAAATTTGTAAACGGCCACAACATTCTAACCGCTGCTTTATTTGGTTGAAGCACGCGGACATCAATAAAGATAACGACCCGACGTGCCATTTCCCTGGCTCAGCTTCTCTCTTCTCAACCCTCCTTCATCCTCGGGGGTTCTCCAAGATTTCTTGTCTCTTTTTAAAGCTTCCCCTGCTCCTCCCTTGGGCTCCAGCATCCCTCTTCCACCCCGCTCCCCCTAAGCTTTGTTTTGTGACCCTGGTAAAACCAGCATCAGCATTTTCCTCTTATTTTTAGCACGTGATGCTAAAATCCTGGGATAAACTTTCCTCCATGATGCCCCGGGCACCAGCACAGCCGGTGATGAGGCGCAGAGCACTGGATCAAAGGGAAACTGAGGCAGGGATGGAGACTTGGGGCCATCAAAGGTGCTGGGGGGGTCCCTCAGGAACTGGATGCCCACCAAAGACCAGGAAGCTGCAGCCCCGGTGGCAGCAAGGGGAAGGCATGTTTTACAGCAAAAAATGCCCTTTGCTTCACAGTAAAAACCACAATAAGCTTGAAAAAACATAATTAAGTAATTGGGATTTTAAGTTATTTCCAAGCCCTTTTGCTCTCCCAGCCTCTAACCCAACAGGTGTGGGAACAAACAGGTGGCCGGGGCCAGCTCGGGACTCTTGAGGTGGGACCAAAGAGGTGTGATCAAAGGTTTAATTGCAGCCTTAACCTGGCCCCAGCCCTTCAGGTGCTCATCACAGGGGCTGAAGCACCCTGGAAAGCTGGACACAGCGCAGGCAGGACAGACAGACAGACAGACAGAGAGCTGGGACAGCTCACCAGCAGCATCACACCCATCACCACGCCGTGACAAGAGCCAGCCTGCATCGCTGGGGCGGTTCACTGCCCCACCCAGCACCTTCTGCTGCCCACTCCTGTTAAACACATGGACCAGATGCTCAGGGGGTGCCAGACACCTCCAGGACCCCAGCTCTGCCAGCACTTACCCCTGGGATGGAGCCACCAACGGGCACAAACCACCACCCGCTCCCTGCTGGGCTGGGAAATGCCTTTGGGAGGACGAGCAGGTATTTAACCTGGCGATTAAACCTACTTAAGAGGCAGACGGTGACTGCTGGGAGAGCTGTGAAACACCCAGGTGGTACCTATGGAGAGAATTCCCTTCCCACAACCAGCACGTGATGGGTTCAGCTGGGGACAGATCGATCCAGTCAGCCCAGGCCTTGGTTTCTTGTCCTGGGTGACAGGACCGTATGATGGCAGGGTAGAAAACCCACCTGCCAATGCCTACAGATCATTTAATTTCTTGCAGGGAACGGAGCAGATGGGGGAACCTTCCTTTTCGAGACGGGGAGGTGGCCCAGAGACCACAGCTCAGCACTAACCACGTTCCCTTTATTGGGTTTGCAAATCACACAGGGCACCCGTGAGGAGGTTCAAAATACATTAATAATAATAATAATAATTAGCGTTCTGACCAATTGCTACAGTTCCTGCTCCCGAGGGCTGGGCTACACTTTGGTGATGCTGTCTGCTGGCTTCGCCTCGGCTGGCTCCTCAATTTGGGGACTGTGGGGGAAGACCC